AGTCATCACGGTCTTGGCCTTGGCGGAAGACACCGAACCTGCGGTGGAGCATATGGGATGCGCCTCCAACCTGGTCACATACATGGATTCCTTGAACTCCATGAAACCATCAAGCACCTGCTGCTCCGTCATATGGCAGGTCGGACGACCCAGCTGATGTGCCTCTTAAGCCTATACAAAAATCAGGAGGCCCTTCCCAGAATCAACATGACGTAAACGCTTCAGATTACAAAGAACTGCAACATCTACAGTAAGTAAGCGTATGAATTATTGTGGCTCCAACAGGTTCCTTTCAACACCCACCTCCTAATAAACTAAAGATCAAATAGGTTGGGCAAATAATCATTTATATTGTTTAGAATATTAGTATTAATTGGATCAAATTGGATGGGCCGACTATGAGCTAGCGTGAGCTGTCCATATTAATTAACACAATCCAAGTTCCAACACAAACATTTATTAGACTCATATATAATTATTAAGAGGATATTGATATGATATATATTACTTGATCATTTAACTATAGAATCATGATTTTCAAATATAATAAAAACAAGAATTATTGAAATATATTTTTATTGACTGCATATTACTCTATTTAATGATAGTCTCATTTTAAGACCAATATTGATATAGTTTATTAAATTATATATATTGGTATTATGAAATGTTTAAATTTTCTATTGAGAAAATTATTTGGTTTGTGAACATGCAAATATTTATAGATTGACCCATGTGATATGAAAAATAAATATGTGTGGCTACATAGACCGGCCAGTGCGGCTCTGCCGCCGGCAAGTGATATTTAGCCAACGGGTCAACTGTTGAAATATGAAAAATCATGTGAAATGGTCGAGCAGTGTATCCACTGAAATAGACAATACAAAAGAAGATTTGATCAACTAAGTGAACCGGTCAATGTATTGAATAATGATGACCGGTGATGGCCAGATGATAAGTGTATTGAATAATAATGACCGGTGATGGCCAAATGAAAAACATATTAATGATAACCGGTGATATGGAATGGCCATATGATATGGCCATGTGCAAACAAATATACATATAAAAGGAAATGAATGGCTATACATATACATGGGTCGGCCAGTGCGGCACTGCCGCCGGCGATGGGCAGTACAAATTAAGTGATAGCCAATGAGTGAAATTAATGATACTTTGTATCTGACCATGTGAAAGTTAATTAAAGTCCTTGTCATGAACAGACATTATATAGACTAACCTGGTCCTGAAGTATCAGTTGATAAATTCTCCAAATTTATGGAGATATGAACATTGATGAGATGGTACTATAAGTTACCACATGATTAATGTGATGTCGGAAGTTATGGCATAATGATTAAATAATATCATGGTATAGTAGTACTGGATGCTACCACTTTATGATTAAACAAAGTGATGAAATGGTACTAGAAGCTACCATTGGATGATTGAACAAAATGAGAAAGTGGTATCAAAAGCTACCAGCTATGGGTGATCACACAAAAATAATTTCTCAATATACTAAGGGGCTATATCAGATGACGAGATCACATTGGGATACGAGATCATACAGATATTACAATAAAGTGCTCCGGAAGAAGCACAAATGATAATGATTGTAGTCATGAACTACTATACACTGAGAAAAATCGAAATTGATATTATTATTACTGAGAAACAAGTACAAAATGTTCAGATGGTGGAAATATGGAAAAGAGGCAGTAAATACTC